TTAGTTTTGACAAAAGAACCTTAATTCTACAGAAGCTCGCAACCGCCACGGGCGCGGGTGAAAATCGCGCCATGAGTTCTTAGCTTTAAGCCTTTATTTCCTCTTAAGTTGACGACGGTTCCTGACATACGTCGAGCTTACGAATATACACTAGTTCTATGGAGCACCGCACTGTAGTCAGTGGCAGATAATTATTCGCGCGTACGACGGTCGACTGAGCGGACTGATTGATGCGTTACTGAACAATAGGAGCGCGCTCAGTGCGCCGCTGACCACTCTGCCGTACGGATTATGCGCTTATAGCCAAGACATGATTGTTTGGTACAGCGATTGGTTTCGCAGTGCGGTACTTTTCTGTGTTCATATGCAATGGTACCTGCCACCAACGTCGGTAACTGACGTCAACTTAGGAGGAAATCAAGCCTGTTTGTTTCCACATGAGCATGCTCAAGTAAATGAACGGCTGATTTGACCGAGCCATTCATTCTCCACTTGAGCGCCTCGGCCAAATGAGCCACTCATTCGCCTGAGCATGCTGAAGTGGATGCAAGGCTATACGCACGATGTCAGTAACCGGGATAAGTATGATGACATCAATGATATTTTTCCGTAGAATTAATATGAAAGTATCGATGGGACGCATCGACACTACATTTGACGAAGAATTCAAAACTAACTTGAGGAACGTAATCATATGATTTTGGAATTATGCTGGTGTCATCATCCCTATTGTAAAAACTTATTTGCTTGATGGTAAGCATAACCGCGAAAGATAACGCATAATGTTGAGAACGTTTAACATCGCAAAATGTAGTTATTATCGACTAATTAATTCTTTAAATTGTCCCTTTCTAATTTATTAACGAATTTTCTGGCTCTAATTAATCTTAAGTTTTTCTGACATTTTGCGCTCTTGACGTTTTTTGGAATTATAATATTATGCGTGNTATGCGTGTTTGTCTTTTTACCGGTTTGACATTGTGCGTGCGAGTCATTATTTTGGCTATATCTGCCATTCCTTCGTCTCTAGGGAGCGACAGATAAAAGCCAAAATACGGATATTGTTGTGCGGAGTCCCCTGTGCCCGCCAGGCCGAGAAAACATCGTCATATGTGGCAGCTCCATCTTAGTTGTAACGCGGTTCGGAACCAGATAAAACTGATTTAGGTCTCTCCTAAGAGGCTAGAAACGCGTCAACGCGCAGATGGAGCTGTGACATTAGTTTATGAACAAGCAGAGGCCTCCCCCATTGATCTCCAGCGAATGCCAAGGCATCCAAGGTTAAACTTTATCAGATCGACAGTATATCGCGCCGTTACACTTTACATAGTCGTCGCTATTTTACTCCATTTTACACGAGGTAGGTTCTTCCTGGATGAGGCAATTCGCCCGCTTAAAGACCTTTTTTAGAACTCTTTTAGATCATGTCTTCGGACTTCGTTACAGTTCGTGTTTGCATAATACTTTTCGTTATAACGTTTGAGCAGCTATTGTGAATGACCAACTTTGAACCTTATCGGCTTGATATTTAGAACACATTGCCAACGTACCGGAGTCCTCCATTCAATAATATTGCCAAAATAACTAAGTTTTTGGTTGTCTTGAAACATTGTTCCATATTATTGCATATTGACACGATATCATTAGATGTTATTGTACATAGAAATCACATTTATTTCAATTGAAAATCATTATTGCCTATGATATGTCAGATGTTTGTTACCATAAATTAGTTGTAGACCAGGTTGAAGATTTTTAAAGGGTAACCTTATATTATTCATTATTATTGCTTGGATTATACTTATTATTGTTGAAATTATACTTACATATTATAAATGAGATTGAACGGTAAGCAAATTTTAAATTTAATTGAAAGGTTAATAAAGCTGTAGAAGGACAAATTAAAAATAATTTTATTGAATTTATTATTATTGTATTGTTCCTGTGAGATGGTTTGATTGATTATTCCATTATTCCATATAACTTTTTGAATAAAATAATATTTTTTGGAATCAAGTCTTCGAGGGGAGGTTTTTTTAATGAAGCAGCTAAATATGTGCATTATTTTTAACATAATACTAAGAGGGCTGTAATTATGTTACTCTTATGGCTTAATAAACTGACGCGACTACGTCAGTTGATATTTATATTTCCAGTGATTGACAGAAATTATATTTAAATATGAATTTTTTTCTATACATGTATCGCGCACGTGATTTATATACTATTTCGACCTTGACAATTTGACAGTATATTCGTAATAAGATATACGTTAAACTAAGTCGATATATTAGTTAGCTAAATATTACTTGACATTGATGTAAGGTGTTTCTTTCTAAATTGTTAAACTTTACTCATAGTGTAAATATACACATTTACTCCCAATTATAATACGTTTCGTGAGAAACAAGTGTGTTCATAATATATGTATATTATTAGTTGGTCTTGGTTGCCACATTTTTTTACTATAGCAAAATGAACCTTCTAAAATACAGGAATTCACGTACGTTTAAGTTGTTTAGATGTTCAAAAACAATTTTGGCTTCACGAAATAATTATTTCATATGAATTCTCGGTGTCCATAATCAGTCTAGAACTGCTTTCAACGAGAGTGAGCCAGCCCTCCTCGTTATAAGACTTTTTAAACTATGCATTCCAAATTGCACTGTAGGTGGGTCTCATTATTTTTAATCTATTTTTATTATACCTGTGTCTATGCAACATGGCTCAATGCTACGACGAACCATAGATGAACGGATGGTATCTTATTACTACGTGTGAATAATAATTATTGCCAAACAATTGACTGTTAACAATCCTTCTTAAACCTGTTAATTACCATGAGCCATGTCGCACTATACTGTAGCTTGCATGTTATTAGATTTAGCGTTGCAGTTAGACTAGATCCTGTAGTGACTGATTTTCATTTCGTATTGTAAACATTTTTACAACAATGTCAATTTGTTACATGAACTATTTAATACTTAATAGCTATATTTCATTAGGATTACTAGCGAGGGTCACTAAATTATATTAATCAAATGTAATGTTAAAGACAAAGTTGAGGGATAGGAGATGCTAAAGTAACCAGTTATTGTACTGCCAGGTTTTGTCGGATGCGTATGTGTTGTCGCTATGGTGGTAGATAGTAGCTTTGATGTACGAATAGACAGTTGACTTGTATTAATACACACGGTGAGCACTTATTAGATTGATATGATATTGTAGAAAGACCATTAGTAAATTATCTTACAGCATCCACTACCACACCACTGTTTAGAGGCTGGTATGTTGGTCGGGGCACTCATTTTGCCAAGTCGGATGTTTATTGTGGACTGCAGTAAGATGTACCACGGTCTTATTATCAAATTGAAAACAATGGCGTGCAAGTCAATGTCTCCAATGTGGCAAAAAGGCTATTACGTCTCCGATTACATAAGAGCATGATACGAAATTATAATGAATAATAACTAACACATAAACTTAATAGAAAACTGTTTCAGACGCTAAGTATTAAAATATCACTGTTACTGTAATTGCAAGATATTTTTGTAAAATATTATAGATGATGCGGGCGCCTCGCCGCCACGAGTATTATGTGGTTAAGCAAGACCCTAGTCTTAGGTAATGTTTTCGTAGGTTTAAAAAGTTTTGCTCACACACCAATATTTTTGTGAATGGTATTTATGCGTTTAGTGTTGCCATTATAAGCCCTATTATTTAACCGTCTCTGCTCCCACTTTTCCATTGGTTGAAGTAGGCATTAGTAATTTTTAGTAATTTATTTCTTTTATAGTTATCTTCTTATAATATCTGTATCTTCCATTCAGTAAATCCGTCGCTTTACCTATGCCAATAATAATTTTAAATTGTGAGCTATTTTCACCTTATTTTGTCTATTATTATTGCCTCATTTATTATTATACATTTTAAGCAAAATAATGTAATTTATTTCGGGGTTGTATATAAACGCAATTATTATCCATAAAATTATTATTATTTTTAGTACTAAGGTTATTTTTGCTACAACTACATGAATGTACACGCATGATCTTAATTAATATACCTTTAACGAGTCAAACCAAGGGCCTCAATGACTGCGTAACATTAGAACAACTGTAGAATTTGTGGCTGTTATACATTTTTAAATTTGTTATTTCACATTTTGGAGCAATTTTTTTAATTAAACTGACCACATTCTGTAGATTTCTATGATAATTTTGATAAAGTATGGAACTAGTGAATTGTTAGTAAATAATATCAAATGTAAACATAGTTGTATAGTGTAAGCAGTTGCAGTTGTTTCGTCAAGTTAATGTTACTGTTAGGAAGGCATATCTGTAATAAATGTGTGTATATTGAATTGACTTTCATTTTTAACTTGGGATATTTTAATCCCATTACCTTAGTTAGAGTTTCCTTCCTTCCCTAGTCTTCTAAATAATAGTATGCAAACTTATTAATTTGACTAAAATCCAAACCAATTTATAATAATAGTGATTCACTCTAATAAAAGGATAGGTATTTATAATTTTTACAAACAATAATCTTGCTAAATAATTCAACGATTTCTGGCCTACTAGTAATAATACTGAGTTTCTTCAGTTTCTTGCACTGCCCTAGAGTGGTAGGGTTAATACTGGGTCAAAAGTACTTTTTAAAAAGCCATTTGCAAAAATAAATAAGTTTTATGAGTTTTTACTGCTAGACAACCCATCAAGTATAGACTACCATTGTGAATAAAATTAAAAAGACAATTTTATGTATCAATTAAATGTTTTTCTTTATTTACATTTAAACTTAAAATAAACTTTAGACTATACATAACATAAGCTAGAGATTACAATCAAGCAAGATGTATGGTGTCAAGTAGCTATATCCAAATTAAAATATGATACAAGTCAATATTGTTTGAGAAACTTTTTAAGAAGCTTTTTAATTTAAAAACAATATAAAATAATGAGGAGAGGGCCTAGAAGTTTTTTCATCAGTCTTCATCACATCTTGTGGTCAAATTAGGCTTTTACCTGAAAATAGAAGAGAAATAATAAATATGTGAATAGGAGGAGGTACCATAAATAAATCTTTCTACTGAAGTAATTTTATTTCAGTCAGTCACAGAAAAATATAAGAAGAAAAATTTACTGGAAATTACATAGGATTATGGTATTGCATTTGTAAATATATTTTTTATAGGAATATTAGAATGATTTTTTCTAACTAACCGAGTCTTTACTAGGCTTTCTGCTTAAAGATAGCGCCTGTGATCGTCCCGTGCCTCTGGATTAAGCATTGCTTCTTGTCGGTCTCGAGGCAGACGGTGGGCGGCTTGAGATTGGGCTGGATCTTGCAGGCCTGCTCCGAGATGGCCACGATGACGCCCGCGGAGTCGACGTGTGCCGTGCCCTTCGCCGCCAAGCACAGGCCCTGGTGATCCGCCACCAAGCAGCCGTTCACGTTTGGCGTGGACATTATCTCCTCTATCACTTTGTCGAGGTCTTTTTCCATGGCTGCGGTGGTACTACGTCACTTTATTTAACAAAAGGAATCTCGCAGACGTTTTAAGAAACGCAGTAAATAACAAGAAATTGGTATCGTAATTAAAAAACAAAGCCACCCAATTTATCAACAAGATGACATCTTTACAGTGACCTCATCTGTGACAGTGACAGCTGACAGCATTGACAGTTGACAGCTGTCACTTGAGCAGTGTACATTTAATTTTCGTTCAAAAATTACGTGATAACGGTATGTAATAACGGTTATTTTTTGCTTTGTATGTCCTCAGTCCCATGTAGAGATGGGTAGTGGGTAAAAACCCATTTCACCCGATTGGGTTAAAACTGGGTGATTTGGGTAAAAACCCGGTTTTTACCCATTATCACCCATTCTGGTGGGTGAAAACAAAAATAGCGTTTTTTTAAAGTGAGAAGTGGTATTTGTTGCTAAGGGAGCGTTCTAGTGTTACGTAATGCAATCTGGGGGGAGAGGAGGTCTTGAAAAACGTTACAATGCGTTACAGTGGCGGAAGGACGGTTCGATTTCAAGTTTTTAAGCAGAAGTACTTTGTAGTTGGTGTTGTTATTTGTAACTTTATACCGTAATGTCATCAAAGAGAGAGTTTGGCATCTTTGGCATACCCCCCCCCCCTCCATGTCCTTGCCATGATCACAAATTATTGTGTTCGTACTAAATTTCTTCTAAATCGGTTCAACGATTCTTAAAATAAAACCATTTTATAAAATAATTGGTCACATGATCACATCATCATAACGTGATCAATTTTACGATTTGGCCACGATATGCATATAAGTGTTAAATTTGACTTATTACTTATTAATCAATAAACTTAAATGAGAAAAATTCAATAAAAATAAAGAAAAGGTACCAATTGCAATAATTATAAAATTATTTGTTTTCACCCGGTGTAAACACCCACGGGTGGAATAAAACGGGTTTTATTGGGTTTTTACCATCATGTGGGTTTTTACCCGGGTGGAAACCCATCTCCCCATGACCATAACCATATTCTTGAAATAAGTAAGTAGTTGAAATGTTAGCTTTCCTTAATATCATACTATTTATATTAACAAGATTATGTAGCAGAACATTTAACACCTGTATTCACAAACGATGTTTGCTTAAGTGAAACAGCAAATTGAACGCACAGCGTTGAATAGAGCTCTGTGATTGGTTCATGTGTCACCCTGTGCGTTCACGCGCACTGTGAGACCTCATTGTAATGTTTGTGAATACGGGCGTAAGCGGCTATTGACTGATAAGATCACACATAAAAAGTTCATTTAATATACAGGGTGTTAGGTAAATGGGTATATGAGCCGACACTAGCCTATGTTAACATGGGCATATAAATGGTATGGTGAAGTCAGAAATTTGATATCATCATTTTAATTTTTTTAATTTTCATACAAAATAAATTTTATAAAATCCGATTTGTATGAAAAATAAAATAATTAAAATGAAGATATCAATTTTCTGACTTCACCATACCATTTATATGACCATAACATGGGCTAGTGTCGGCTCATATACCCATTTACCTAACACCCTGTATAAACATACGCAAACAGTAAACGCGGAAAACATGTGACCTTCGCGCTAGTTCTAAAGAATACGAAGCTACAACGGGTAATGGTAAGAGGCTAAAATCACATACATTTATTGAGTAAATTGTCTGGACTTCTGTAGTAAGTTAGTAAGTAACTAAAACGTCTAGCTACTGACATCTTCGTAACTTTTAATGCTTGAAGGCTTTATAGGCTTGAAGGTAATTAAGGCATTAAATCGTTGCTTCAATAGTTATTGGATTGGATTCTCAAAAACAAACCATTATTCGATAAACAAGATTATGTAAATAGATCATTTATTTGCGAGACTTGCTAATTTGCCCATCCGGCCGAAGAGCTAAAGATCCTCGACATTGCACACACGGTTGCCCTCAGTTGAACTAGTCTCACGCAACGAGACGAGCCAGCAGCGCACGCGCAGCCGCCAAAATGTTCCAGATCGCAGTCTGTTTAGTGGCTATACTGGTATTCCTGGCAATCCTAGAAGGGATGAGATTATGTCTGTGCAAAAATAACGGGAAATTATCTCCTTTTGTCGGTAAGTGATTTTTTGAAATCGATATCTTTTTTTAGAGTAATGGCCGTCTGTTGTTAGCGTCGATGTTTACATTTGCTTTTGTCAACTTAACAATGTGTTATTTAAATTGCTCTGCAAACTTGCAAAGTGATTTAGGTGATTGGACAAAAAAACATCTAAGTACTTAGTACGAGTTTTCCTGTTTCGGCTGTTCTTTTTTCTTATTAACACATAGATAGATAAGTTGGGTTACAAATATATTTTATCTTTGATGTCTAGGATCACCGGCTTTTATTTATACTGGATTCCTGTAAAATTTTTGGTATCAATAATTATTAATAAATGACTCGATACGTGTACCTACATAAAACGTTTCAAGAACGTTATCTGGAAGGGATCGCTTTTTAGCGGGAAGACCGCCTCAATCTTTTTAATCCCCGATGCAAGAGGGATATTTATAATTAAGAATTTTAATAATGTTCCTATTCCATATTTTAATCTAAACCCTTTTGAATCTATGTTTTGTAAAATGTTTTATCAACTTATCTAATTCATCTAAAAACATGAATGCTTTAGTAATGATTAAACTAGAATAGAACCACAGGACAAGGCAGCCATCGTCTCTAAAGGCGCACGTTACAATATAATCTACAGTTTAATGATACACTAGGTCCAGTAAGGTCGTTCAGAATCGTTGGATTACTGACCTAGTTGTCTTGTGATATACTTCTTTGCAAAATGAAACTTAAAAGTAGTTTGACACTGTGCCTAGATATATTTAATAGGATCGTACCTAGAAAAAGGTATTAAAGGACAGTGCCAATCCATGTATGGAAGTTGGACCAAGTGCTGCCCAGAATGAAACGATAGTGCATTTTGTTCCTCAGGCCAATACTAATTTGTAAACCGAAGCGCACTGAAATCTATCCCTGGAGCTAGGAGAAAAAAAGATTTTTGTTTTGAATTATTTACATACAAAATATCATCGATGTATACGTACTACGCATAAGATTTCGCAATTGTGGCATTCAATAACACTTGCTACGTTGAACTTAACCATACTGCATCCGTACACCTTACTTTAGTACGACTTCGACATTCTTTATAAGGGATCAAGCGCTGTTGCAGTAGTTTGGTTACTTGACAAAAAATAATTATTTCCAAAATGGAGCAAGAAGTTTTAGCTTACAATAACTTCAATAATCGATTGTAATACACCAATAAATTGATTTTTTGCAAGTATAGAAAACTAAAACTTCTTGCTTCATTTTGGAAATAATGAATTTTTTCAACTTACCAAACAATTAAAACAGTGCTAGATCGTTTACAAAGAATGTCTAAATCGCACTAAAGTAACGTGTACGGATGCATTATGGTTAAGTTCAACATAGCGAGTGTTATTTAATGCCATAATCGCGAAATCTAATGCGTAGTACGTATACATCGATGATATTTTGTATGTAAATAATTCAAAACAAAACTCTTTTTTTCTCTTAACTCCAGGGATAGAATTCAGTGCGCTTCAGTTTACACATTAGTATAGGCTTGAGGAACAAAATGCACTATAGGTTGATTCTGGGCAACACTTGGTCCAGACCCTGGCACTATCCTTTAATATGTAATCTAGGCTTTGCAAATAGGCAAAATAGTTTTAGGAAATTTTATATTATTTTCGAAACAAAAACGCTTATTTATTTACTAAGTAGGCACGTAAATATTATTACTGTACTGCTACTTACCTAAAGACGTTGTTATGACGCATTTCTAACTAGCCTAAAGCCTAAGTAACCAATCACAAAATGCCAAAATAAATATGCTAAATCTTTTAATTTTTTATGATCATCTAACGTACTCACTACTTACGTAATCCTACTCATACGTAAATACTCGTTCGTCCAATTTACCAGTAGCAAATTCGTTTACCAAATTCGTAAGTAGGTACTTGTGGTATAAGTAATAAAATGCCAAGTGCGGAACTGTAAGGAGATGGAAGCGCCTATAAGTGACTGGAATAGTCACCTACCAATAGCCCAAATTAAAAAAAATGTAGGAGATATACAATATTGTTTGTAGGATCAGTTAATAGGTAGGTAGGTAATTAACACTTTAGGTAGGTACCTTTAAGTAGAGCTATTATGCATAAGTAGAACTCATGAAAATTTCATGAGCTTAACATAAAATAAATCGACCGAGCTTCGCTACATTTAAGAAGTCAATTTAACCAAACTCTCGTTTAAAATGTTTACTAAATACGACTACGATTTCCTGAATACCATTTTTTTGTTTATTAGCAGGTTAAATGTCGCACAACACGACCTAAAAAGTTAGTTTTCAGCCGGCTTGGTGATCGAGTTACATGAAATGTAATGTGGACCCATAATATGGTGGATCTACTTTCTAGCGATACCTTTAAAATTTTTTTTTATGATTCCTATTTTTTAAGACTGTTTGTTTGGATTTCCCTCTTTCATTAATTCTTCTGGTCCTTGCATCAAGTTAATTTTGTCAACATCAGGAAGGACTTTACAAAGTTATAGAGACTACTCTACGGGTGATATACAGCCCAGCTTAATTGCACCTGAAATTCAGAAGTTTCAGTCTCAGACTTCAGGGAGTTTTGCAGACATTGCATATTTACTTCAGTTTTCAGGGAGTTTTTTAATAAAGGGCTACCTATTATACTCACCTACACGACTTGTAGTACATACTTATATCAACATGGAGCAATAAAGAATTTGAATTTGAACGTTTGCAGAGTCTAGCTATGTGCGTGTGTGTGTTAACTGATAGTTAGAATTTTAATGATTTTACTATATTATTTTTTTTCATCTAAATTAATTATCTTTGTTTCAGGGCCAGTAGAGAAACTGAAAAACAAAATCAGAGGTATAAAAACATTGAGAGAAGAGCATGCTGGAGCTGAAGCCAGTCCCGGTGGGAGGAAGAGTGACATTGCCACTGAAACTGTTTAAATCTGTGTTGTGAATCTATGATACAAATAGGACATTATATTGTAGAGTTCGTAAACTTTTTATTCTTCTTTATATGGCTCTCGCGGATTG